GGGGCCGAAGGCCAATTTAGCTCAAAGGGAGATGATTCATTGATTTGCAATGAATCTATGGAACCGAATCACTGAACCGAGCAAATGACTCGCTTAGAGTTCATTTGAACGGGCCGTAATTATAACCAAATCTATAGTGAAACACTATGTCTTAGCAAGGTAACTTTAAATCGAACAGTACAAGACATTAAATGTGCAAACACGACACAAGAAGATTTATCTTTTCAAATATATGGACAAGACTTTATTAGCTATTCTAAGCACAAAACTAAGGTCTAAACATAATCACGCACACACACATTCATACAGTCGCGAAAGGGCAAGAGTGAGTTGGAAAGAGTGAGAGAGAAAGTGTCAACTTTCTATATGCACGTAAGACATAACCTGAAAGGACCACCAAGCATTAATTTGAACCTTCATTTCTTAGAGAGGTTATTCAATTAACATCAAAGCACCAGTTCAGTTAGAGCCTAGAGTACTTGCGCTTTGTAGTGGCTGAGGGAATTCCCTTTGTCTGCGTCGCGTCGAAGGGGGGTTTCCGGCCGGGTCCGTTGCGTGGTTTGTTGTCTTTGAAGTGCAGGGATGGAAGTTTCGCCGCTGGTCACGTGTGATTAGCAAGCGAATGAGAGTCTTTTCCAGTTCGAAGCGCGTTGCAAACTTAACTTTGAAACGAGACTTTTACGAAAAAGGAAATAAAGGAAAGAAATGAAAGTAAGACGAGTCGGATGGCTTGACTGAGCTGAATAGTAACCCTGATCTTGATGGGTTATTCGTCTGCGGGTCGAATTTGGTCTAGTCGATGTAGAAGCATGCGAACATGTTCTTTGTTTCAAAGATAAGCACGAACAGAACACTCTCTTGCTGGTTTTAGAGAGAGGCACGGACTTAACAGTTACAGAACAGAACAAAAATCACCTGAAATCTTCTAAAATCTACAAAAATCACATCTTGAGGTCCTTTGTTCGGATCTTTAACTTAAACTCTAGTCCAACCTCCAAGAAGCTTCTGGCCAATTGGAGGCGGATCTACTTCTTGCTTTATCATAATTTATGCATGGTCTGTGAGCTGGTCTCCAGCACTTAGCAGAGACAAAAGACCATCGTTTTAACCTTATGATAATTATAATAATAAAACAAAACCTTTTACGCAGATTTCAATCAAGCCATCTTTTGAATTAGGAGAATACGATTCGTTTAAGAGTAAATGAGGCATTCACACTTCTAATGGTTGTATAACAATTACAAGAGTTAATAGTTAACAACAATTACATGATTCATATGTGATCTAAGCATTAACAAACAACACATGAATTGCAGAAAGCAATGAGACTTGTGAGGTTTGATTAAAAGTTCAAGAATTGTTCTGTGGTGAGTTTATATGATTTTATGTGTGAGATCTCCGATCTCAATAGTAAGGTTACTGAGAGTTCAACTCGAAGGGGGACGAGGCAAAGGTGTTCTGTGGAACATCTCTGTCAGGGCATCAGAGGGGTCTTTGATGTGAGATCTCGTTCCACCATTTTGGAGCTGATTTGTCTTAGTTAAAATTACCATATTGACACGTTCGTCCTGTTTAGTGCCCATCTCTTGGGCCTGTGGGGCAATAAAAGTCCTTATCTGCAGACAGCACGGAGTCGTTCCGTGACTCTGGAATGTGGGCTCCAGAACTTGGAGTGTTGAAGCCATGTGAATTAATCCCATGAGAGATTAATTTGATTAAGTTGTGTTTGATTCGCCTCGATTCTCTACAAATGACTTAACTTTCATTTTTGGGTGAACTAACCCTTTAATCTCTTCCCACAGTTGAGTTGGGAGCTGACTATACCACACACTATATGATGACTTTCACTTAGATATTTTAGTGCAGATGTAGTCGAATTGCACTGTAAGGGCCATTTAAAACCAATATATTGAAACGTCTGTTTATCCAGACATTAGGAAAATATCAGAGATGTATTTTATATTTAATATGAGGGAAATACACATCCGTAAACGGGGTCGCACACCGAACGAGAAGCGCAGCGCCGCACCGCGTCTAGGGGCTGTTTACACCTGCAGGCCACTTCATGCGTTTTCTCAGATCGGATGGCTATCTCTGATTTATCAAAACGATCCACTTTACACCTGGTCACATACATGTGTTTTTGCAAAACAGATATAAATCCGATCTTCAATTCCCCCACGCTATATGCGGATTTAATGAAGCGCACGTCACCGAAAACAACAGATATGAGCTGCATTTTAATGATCATCGGCTAATTTCAAAATCAGCAAAGACAGCAATAGAGAGCGGCAGCAGCCCTGCTAAGATCAGGAGCATTAGTCTCTTTACTTTTAATGAAGATGGTAGTGTTGCGGTAGATTGCGGCGCGTTGGCTTGATCAGCTGCTCATCTGAGGTGATGCGCGTCGCAGTAGTCGTCATATCTGACTAAAATAACATGACATAACACGCTCTCACACGTTTATTTTTTAGCATTTTTGGGAGTAACATTTACATATGTGGTTTCAACAACAGATGCATTTACACATGTTCAGTTTCGTCAGGAATGTGGCCCAGAGCACCTCCTGATGTGGTTTGAGTGAGAGTTTCGGATAGGGCTGCAACAACTAATCGATAAAATCGATTATAATCGATTATGAAAATCGTTGTCAACGAATGTCATTATCGATTAGTTGGTCTGATTACGTCACGGGGATTGTTTACATGCTACATGCGCTTCTTACATGCGCTTCATGAGGCACACACGCAGTCTCTCTCCCTCGCCGCTCTACCCTGTCTCGCACGCGCAACACCGACTGTTTGAACGGAGCACATTATCTTCTGTCTCGCGCGCGCAACACGGACGGTTTGGAGCACATATATCTTCTGTCTCGCATGCGCGCTCTTGATTCCGTGAGTTTGAACTAATTTGCGGGCATCAGGAAACCGCTATCAATATGCAGCATACACGAAAATCATTCACCTTTCGGCAAATTCGCCGTTTTGAAACCAAAATAGGTGACCTACGTTAATCGTGTATACTTTATGAAGCCATACTATAATGTGAGATAGAAATGTATATTTAAGTAATTAAATTAAATTAAGCTTTTCCCTCCACTGCGGCTGTCAGTCATTCTCTATTCGGTGTTCAAACAGCTTCGCGTTCGGTTACAACAGTTAACATGATGAAACTCTTTCCAAGATGATTCAATGTTATTATTATAATTGATCCGTAGATAAAGGTCTATGGTTTCGTAATATAATGACTATCTTGCTAGACTTTTATTGCTGTAACGTAATCACTTTCTACTGAGTGTCTGTTAGATCACAACACTAGAGTAGACTCGGCGCACTATAATTGTTCTTCACGTGCACAGTAGCCTAACTGAAATTTAAAACTGTTAAAAGAAAAGGCTTAATAAACTATTGCAAAGATACTGTATAATACACAGTCAGTATGTCTTTCTCTTTCCTTGGTGCTTTTAACTTTAATGCGCCGGACACTAAAGAGCTGCGCGCCGCCCTGTGACTCCGTGTTGCTTCAAGCGCATCATTCAGCGCTCGCGATGCGCATACGCACTTTGTGCAGCTCTTTCATGATCATGTCATAATACTTTTGCGCAATAAAAGCTTATTAATAGCCTTTCTTGTTCTGTCCTATCTATTATATTTTGCTTCCTCACTAAACAGCTGTGCTTTACATTTAAAACAGCTGTGCATCTGATTTTTACGATGTTTTTCATGAATGTATAACAACAATACAAAGAGCAATGTGCAACGTTTTACCAGAGTTAGTGCTACACTTGTCTCTTATTTGTTTCCCACTAAGGAATGTTTTTTTCACTAAATGTTCAGATTTTATAAAATTATTGTGCACTTGTGATATTTTTAGGCTAAGTTTTTCTGAGTTATCCACTAATCTAGTTTACAATAGCATTTTTGTCATAGGTTATGGTCATATATATATTTTTTTATTTGTTGTTTTTCTTTATAATGAAGTTGTCTGTATTAAGTAGATTGTTTAACACACAAAATAGTGTGCTTTTTAGGGTTTTAGGGTTTTATTTAGTTATAATAAACAAAAAAATGAAATAAATTTTTTATCCGATTAATCGAAAAAATAATCGTCCGATTAATCGATTATCAAAATAATCGTTAGTTGCAGCCCTAGTTTCGGACGGCATTTACACCTGGTCTTTTCAAGATCGGATACAGAAAACGTATGAAGTGATTTCAGAGCATCCGTTAACTGAATTAATTGAGAATCTCACCTGAAAATCCAATAACATCAGCAATTGTCATTCAAGCAGCTGATTTCTGTATTATGCATTACATATGCACTCATCAGATATTTCATCCCTCTCTATTCATTTGTATTATTAGAAAAAGAGCTTCCCGGACACTACTAAATAATTAATTTTGTGTTACACAGAAGAAAAGTAGATCCAGTGGGGTTAGAATTACACAAGAAAACAACAACAACAACTGATTTAGTTATTATTTCGTGCTGTTTAAAACTAGGGTTGACAATAGAATAAAATACTTAATATGATTACTCTCATTATTCATAATAATATGAACACTCCAGTGTTAAATCTTGTATAAAACATATTTAGGCCTAATTACAAACTAACCGCGAGGTTATTTATTTGGGTACAGCACACATAAGAACGCCTTTGGGAGAATTCAAATGATCCATTTTAATCTAGATTAAAAAAATGAATCTATGCCCACCTCTAATAAATACCTATGCATGCATGTATATATTTAAGAATTATTTGCACTTAAATTCTGTATATATATATATTATATAAATATAAATATTTTATATATGAATAACACATTTTCTTAAATATATACATGCATGTGTGTGTATTTATATATACAAAATAATTATATACAGCACACACAAATATATTATGTAAACACAGACTTTTATTTTGGATGCGATTAATCTCAAGTAATTTTTGCACAGCCCTAATATAAATATATATATATATCAGATGAAGCCACACTGACCTGTGAAGCGAGCCACGGCATCGATGTGGTGTTTGACCTGAACGGCCAGCTCTCTGGTGGGGGTCAAGATCAGACCGAGCAGCGGCTGCTTCTGCGGTTCATCAGCGCTCACAGGGTCATCAGCTCCAGCTTCAACAGCGCTCACAGGGTCACCCGGTCCTCCATCAGGAGCAGGAGCGCTGCAGTCCTCTTCACCCGCTCCTCCATCAGCGCTGCAGTCCTCGTCCTCACGGCTCGTGTCTGACGGCAGGTACAGACTCTCCACACGCGTCTCTGCATCATCAGGGTTCCTGCCTTCATCCGTCTGCTCGTGGCTCGATGCTTCCTTATACTCCAGAATCATGTGGATCATCGGAATACCGAAACACAGCGTCTTCCCACTGCCTGCGGTCAACAAGAGGAGCGGACCACATCATGAACTACTGGGACACTTACAGCAGGCTCAACTTGACCAGCGAGTACTAGCTGCGATTAATCTCATTTATTTGGATTTTGGCTTCTAATGAGCATGAAAACATGATAATTGAGATAAAATGAGTCGCTGCACTTGACAGAATTACTTTGAGAATCAAAGGCAAGGCAAGTTTATTTACTGTATATATCATACACTTCACAGACAGGAGCTATAATAGTGCTGCACAGTGGACCGATACTTCAAAACTATCGTGATTCTCGCAAATTAAATTTGCCATGATTCCTGAATTTATTAGTATCGACACTTTTATGAATGACCGCATAAGAGTCCAGTCCCGCCCCACGGACGTCTGTGTTTCTCCTCATGGACGCAGTAAAGAAGCAGCAGCTGTCGTGAGGCTAACAGTACCGCGAGCACACGTGATGCTGTGGCCGCCGGTCAGTGGAGATAGATCGAGTGAAGACGGGGTCCATCCCACTGATTAGCAGTGGAAAAGAGCGCTCCACTTGATTAAAAAAACAGATTTTAGCGCTAGATCTCCTGTTTAATAGCCAACTAAATGAATGCTCAGCTAGTCAACAGGAGATGTTTTATTTATTTTTGTATTAGGTGTACAACTGTCCCCCTCAACTTTCATAGATAACATTAATCATTTGCAAGCTGCTAAAATAAAGCATACAAAACATCAGCTAAAATGATCTGATTATGATTATAATCAGTGCATGTGTTTGTCAGTGATTTAATTAGATTAGGCTATTACAGCATTTAAAGAGCACAGATCTACACACAGGAGGAGCAGGAGAAACGCCCTGTGAGAAATACTGTCCTTTTCAGGAAAAGTATCAAAATCGCAATTCTTGACTTGGTATCGAAACAATAATTGTGGTATCGTGACAACACTAAATTAAAATAAATCAAAATAAAAGCAAGTCATAATTGATACAGATAAACTTCTCATCTGGCAAAGCATTTAACAGGATGTGGATACAAGTTATTATTGTATTGAATCAATAAAGTTATACTGATTAATTGTGTATTTATGATATGAATAATATACTTCTGCATTTGTATAAATAAGGCTGTTATATTTGTGTATTTTTGCCCATGTATAAGTAAGTAAGTAAGTATTATTTACAGAATGGATTATGTTATTTATAAGTGTATATTACAAGTTAAAATTGTCTTACTAAATAATAATAATGTGATATGAAGTGATAAATTTGCCTTCTATCATATAAAGTGTAAATGGTGAGGTAACGGTTTAACAGTGCTGAGGTTTGTGGACGGGCACTCACCGGTCTCGGCCGCTCCCAGCACGTCCAGGCGGTCCCGGATGGCGGGTGGCAGTGCCAGGGCCTGGATGGGGGTCGGGGCCGCAAACCCCAGCGCACTGAGAGCTTTCAGAACCGGCGGCGGGACCAACAGGTCTTTCCACGCGGACACGTCTGTCATCGGAGCCTCGGGGTCGCCGGCCGCCGCGCTCCAGTTCCGGCTCTTCTTCTGGCCCTCGGCCGGGGCGTCTGCAGGCGCTGGCTGCTGCTTCTGCTTCTTCTTCTTCTTCTTCTTCTTCTTCTTCTTGGCTGAGTTGTGTTGTGTTTCTGGAGTCACGTCAGCACACTCGTCCTGTGAGATCTGCTCCTCCTCAGTCTCCTCGTCCGGCTCGTTCTTCTTCTGCCTCTTCATCGTCTCCTCATCAGCGTCAGACTGCTCTTCAGCCTCGACCTCGCTGGCCTTCCTCTTCTTCTTCTTGTCTTTCGGTGTGGTCTCGCGCACGGCGACGGCCCGTTCGGGCTCCACCAGGGAGTAATCGGTGAGCTCCTCGAAGCACACCAGGCCGTCGAGCCCCTGCTCCGAGAACAGCCCGGGGTCAACCTCCACCGGCCTCCAGCGGCCCCGCACCACGATCCCCCGCCGCCCGCTGCCCTTCTGCACCTTCATCTTCTTCTTCTTCATCTCCTGCGGGAGAGAGAGAGTCAGAGGAACAGCGGTGTACGGACATACGTGTGCATCTATACATCGTAATTCAATTCAGTGACAAAATGAAGAATAGCTGATAGTGTCATCTATTGTGTGGTCAGGAGCAATAATGAAGAAGGGTCATCTGACTCTTAATCTACCCTGTTATTACAGCATCTGAGCAAACATGAGGAATATATTTTTTATACATGAGGAATACAGGACTTTGTGTTTATGTGTGCTGAATATGGGCTGAAAAATCATGAGATAAAACGATCCTGCTGAATCTCATCATGTTAACACTGTACTTAAATACAAAAGTTGACTGTGATAATTTAATTCACATGTAGTTGTCCACATTACACATAGAGTGATCTGTTATTAGAGGAAAATGTCTAAGTTATGCATTTCAGAAACGCATATACTGTATATACACACAACATCACAGTAAACATATGTATTACTTTAATCAATGTAATAGTTTAAGGAAGAAACAATGAGCTCATTGAAGTAATGCATACTATACTAGTAAATAAAGATACTTATACAAAACAAGGATGGCATTATAAAATGTTACACTTCATTTTAAGGTTTCCGTCTTTAAGCACAGAGTAATATTAACTGACAACAAATACATACTATAGGATTAAAGCTGGCGTTTGGTTGAGGGTTAGTTGCTATTAATTATACAATTTACTGTCATTACTACAGTTATTACAGATATGTAACAACAGGACACGGTAAAATAAAGTGTTATAAATAATACTATGCAAAACAAGGTAATCTCCTTGTGTGTATGTTGTAGCGCAGTAAATATCTTCAACACGCACATTAGCGATAACTTCGATACAAACTACATCAGTAGACAAACATTCGCGATAAAAATGCGATTCGTTCTCAACACGAGTGTTTAACAGCATTCGTAGTGATATTAAAGATAAATCTTACGTGTAGTTGTCTGTGTTTTGTCACACACTTTCACACACATGCACAACACGAGGGCGCCGCCATGATGGGGCTGACGTCAGCGCAAACCCGCCAATCGGAGAGACTCTCGTCAGCACGTGGCAGGAAGAACCATAGCTATCGTTATCTAGATATCTCGTCCACGCTGCTGGCCCATGGAGGTCGACGTCAGAACCTGGCGGCCATCTTGTCACAGGCAGCTCGTTCACTGGTAACATTATTTTAATGGTGCATGTACTTTTTAAATCATCGTAACTTGCTCAATTTTCTACTGATTTTCAAACAGTTTGGTTTGTTATAAACGGCAGAGATGTAGTTATGATACTGCATACTTATGAATAATAAGTGTATAAATAATCATCCAGAATTATAGCCATGTTAATAATGTTTGTAAGAAACCAAACCGTTTGTAAATCCGTCAAGATTTCAACGAGATAAGAGTATTTCTTACATCAGATACCACAAGCCCCTTTTCCACCAAAGCATTTTGAGAGCCGGTTCGGAGCCGGTACCTGCGCGCGAACCAGTTCTTTGTGTTTCGACAGCCAAAGAACCGGTTCTCGGATGGGAAAACTGGTTCAAAAAAAGAGGAACCAACTCTTTGCTGGACTAGAGCCGTTCTTTTAGCACGTAATGTTCACGTCGGGGGCTGAGGCGGGTTTAGATGTGTCCTAAACATCTTTTCTTTTCGACAGGGGTACATAACTTTTCAGAAAAGATTACATATCAAACGAAAAGATTAAAAGACTTACATATTTCAATTGTTTTTAAAGTTTTCTTGGTACACGAGTTAGAGATAATCCCAAAGCAATAGAGTGCCGAAGTAATGACATCACTCTAGGCCAAAACGCGGAAGTGAGTTAGCATTTTAGCATTACGGTTCCCTCGCTCTAAACGCTATGGGATTTTTGAATGGGTTTTTGCTAAATCGCCTGAAATAAGGTCTGTGGTGAACAAAGCCTCTAAATATTTTCACGTTTTGATCTCTGACACAGAACACACAGTTATAACCTGCTTATTTTTTTTTAAACTTTATTGTGTCTGATTGTGTTTTTTAAAATCTTTATATAGGCTTCAAAATGTATACATTTTGGAATACCTTGTAAAGATTATCTTGCTAGACAAAACGTGTACGGGTCACAACCCTTTGTTAAACACAGATCTTATTTTTTGCTATTTTCCAAAAGTCTATGCGGAAAATGCATTGCTTTTCGACCGAGGGAACCCATGCGCCGCTAGCTTCCGAGTCGTCCTACAAAGTGATGTCATCACTTCAGCACTCGATGTACTCGCAAGCGTTTCTAGCGTTACGTGCACAGTGACGTAACGACGTCGTTCCCTGGGCGCTTTAGTCAGTGGAAAAACAAACAGGTTCTGAAGCGGTTTGCAAGTTGAACCAACTCTGAACCAACTTTGAACCAGCACCAGTTCTGAACCAGTTCTTTTTTCGGTGGAAAAGAGGTAACAGAGCCCGCCAGAAAGCCTGTCTGTGACAAGATGGCCACCGGTGATGACGACAAATAGGCCTACTCCGCCGTGAGACATCTAGCCTTTATATAGATATCTATGGGAAGAACCTCCCAGACCGGTTATGCTCTATGGTTATGCTGTCCCGATGTGTGTTACAGGTTACAGACAGCTCGGAAGATTTGTCATGAGAGAAAAAACAAATAACACATTTGAACAGCACAGTTGAACACTGGGCATGATATGATTATGAACTAATCATATGAACTATGAACTATGATTATGAACCCTGGCAATTTGATTGGCCCGATCATTTTTTGCCTGATCATAATTACTCCTCAATGGATCGAGTCCAGACCGAACTTCCCGACCAAAAAACGTTGTGGGCGGAGTTCGGGCTGGCATCCAGGCTACTCGTTTACATGATCAAAAATTCGGGTTAGAAAAGGGGTACCCCAGGTATAATTTCCCGGTTTTTAAAATCCAGGATATGAGCATTTTTCGGGGTTTTTGCCGGAGTTTACATGGCCGTTCGCGACCGGCTTACTATTAATATCCCAGTTTTGAACGGGATATTGGCTGCATGTAAACGTAGTCACTGACACAAGAGCAGCTGTGAATTGACATATACATTTTAGTCCAATGATGATGAAGTTACAAAATGGTTTAAATAACAAAAGGATTTATAAAACTCAGGTAAGTCATTGGATGTGTAGTGAAGTTTTTCTTCCACGCAACAGACCAGGAGACTTTGAGGCAGTGGCGGCTCCAGACAATTTTGATTGGGGGGGCAATGGGGGGTCCTGGTCATTTCAAGGGGGGGTCTCATGAAAACCAACAAAAAATACATTTGACACGACTAATAACTGCATATTACTGCTACTTAACAACAAAAACAACACAGCATATCAACTATAACTTTGTTTTTAATTAATTTCAGTTTGCAAACAATATGCTCGAACTTTATTGCCATAGCCACACCACACCACACCCATTACAGAAAACATATACAAAATGTGATGATTGGTTGTAATTTCAGAGGAGTCAGTAGTGGTGGCTGGGGTTTGATAAATACGAACATGGATGAATAAAGCAACAGAGAAAATGTTCATTAAAAAGATGCAGTTTATTTTAAGCACAACAATGAACAAACACAAAATAGTATCTATTCTCATACTCTCACCACCTTTTGATTGCCCTACTTCTGTCCAATTGGACCCTGGCATCTTCTCTGCTCATCTATAGTCCAGTCTCCTCCTGGCATTTTCTCTGCTCTTCAGTCTCCACATGTGTTATTTACTGCAACACATGAATAGGTTAGTATTTATGATTAAAAACAGCAATACAATATGAAGAGATTCACCTCAATTACTTCACTAACCAATATTGACAGCTCTTTTGTCCAGTCTCCTCATGTCCTCTTCTCTGCTGCTCTTAAAGGGTTAGTTATTCGGTATTTTACACTTAAAGCCCTGTTTTAAGATAGTTTCTGATGATGAAATAGAACGTTTAAGATTGAAATTTGGTCAAATTAGCTACTGCTGTCCCGAGAACTGTGTTAGCACTGGAACAATCATTCATAAAACGCATACAACTTTCGTTTACAAAGGCGTGAAACTCACCGAGTGGTCTGGGGTGTTCACTAAAATGCTCACGCAAAAATCGCTGCAAAACATGCTTTTCAAAGTTTCCAAAAGGTTTTTATCATAGTTTTTGTACAACTACATTGACTTGACTTGGGACAAAACTACGATAAAACCATGGAAAGCATCTTTTACAGCGATTTTATTATGATTTTGTATTCTATTTCATCAGCAACGATCTAAAAAACAAGATCTAAATACCAAAATAAACTATACCGAACTAACCTTTTTAAGTCTCCACTCTCCTCCTGTGTCTTCTTCTCTCCTCCCGTCTCCATCAAGCAGGCCTCGCCCTCCACGGCAACGGGTATATTTTCACTCCTATTGCTATAATTTCCGTCAGCTCTCATTTTTTAGTATGATATAAAGCGATCCATTTTAGCTTCGTTGCAGCTCGCGCGGGCTCGCGGTAGCGCCTTGAACACAATGACGCAAGGTGTAGCAGCGACGTTCATGGGCGTGGCATTGATTCTTGTGTTTATATTTTTTATATGTCGAATAAATTATTTATGATTATTGTTCTGCCTAGTTGAAGAGAAACATTTTTAAATCTTATCCTGCATAAATATATTTTTTAATCAGGAAGTGGGTGGGGGGTCGAATGGGGGGTCACAGCGTTTTTTGGGAGGGTCTTAAGACCCCCCAAGACCCCCCCTGGCGCCGCCACTGCTTTGAGGTATCTTTCACGCAGAAGTTCTTTATTGCGTCGCTGTAGCCATCTCAAGAATAGTCTAACAAACTAAAATACAGAACTATTCTTATACATTTCAAAAGGGGATGGGTTGCATAAAGGTGGAGACACTGAAACAAAGCAAATGTAAATGCATGTGACCCTAGAGCTCCAGGGCAAACGCTCTCAGAAATGAACATAGCAGGTGTTCAAACTCGCTCCGCAGGAGTTTCCACATGGTGAGACGAGAGACAGGAAAAGCATGGCTTTCACATGCCGTCACAGGACAGTCAGAAGTATAAACTCCTACTGTGTGCAGAGATTTAGAGACTTTCTCCATTTAAAACATTAAATTAAACATGGTGAATAAAATTTGTTATACCACAGACACTTAAATAAATTATGTACAAATAAAGAGCAATAAATAAAACACACAAGTAAAGTGTCTTTTCAGTATTTTTATGGTCAGTATTTGGGGTTTTTATTGTTCTCTAGTTTCGTTAAAATTTAACCTGAAGAAATCCTGATGTTGTTCTTTGAACCAAAGATGATCATAAACTCCTCCCTCATAAACTCCACCCTCTTACAACACTTACCAGGAAGAGACTGAGTTATTTCTCTTTTCTGTCATGATGACTCTCTTCTCTCTCGGCAAAATCAATAAAGATTGAAGCAGCGATCAGTGGAGAATGAAGATAAACACTTTCAGGAAGGATTTGTGAGACATTTGTTTCTGAACAGAGAGCAGATCGTTGTGATTCTCAAGGTGATTTATTCTTAAACCCGTCGTTCAGAAAGTGAAAGTAAAGTTTGTGTTACTGGAGCTCAAACTGTGGAAATGGCTTCACTAAACGTGTTTGCAGAAGAGCTTTCTTGTCCCGTGTGCTGTGACATCTTCAAGGCTCCTGTTGTTTTATCCTGTAGTCACAGTGTCTGTAAAGAGTGTCTTCAACAGTTCTGGAGAACCAAGAAAACTCAGGAGTGTCCCGTCTGCAGGAGAAGATCCTCAAAAGACAAACCTCCTCTTAATCTGGCGTTAAAAAACTTGTGCGAGTCGTTCCTGACGGAGAGAAATGAGACGTGTTCATCAGGATCTGAGGAGATCTGCAGTTTACACTGTGAGAAACTCAAACTCTTCTGCCTGGAGGACAAACAGCCAGTGTGTTTAGTGTGCTTTACTTCACAGAAACACGTCAATCACACAGTCAGACCCATCAGTGAAGTGGTCTCATCATATAAGGTAAGACAAATGTCTCTTGTGTCACATGTAAGTGGAAGTTAAAGTGAATCAGTGCACACACATTCAGTGAGTAGTACACACACACACAGTATTGAACTCCATAAAACCACAATCTCCATAAAAGTACCATCTCTGGTGAAGTCTTTCACATGCTAGTCCCAAACATCGACAGAATGAGATATCTAACCCGAACCTCCGTGAGGACGACTCGAGCCGAGCGGGACGTTTCTCAGCGATACGCTGCTCAGTTTGAGGATCATTATGAGATGTTGCCGCTGTAGTTCCTCATGTGGCGAGCGGGGCGAGGCCGAGGGCCGTGGGGGAACGGCGTGATGGATGATGAGCGACTCCTGCGCGACGCGCCGGTCTCCTGTCTCTCACGGAGGAGCGAAGCATAAAGCAGGAGCGACGACAGTGAAGGATGAGAGAGGCTAGGCCTGGAGTTTTATTGTGTTATGTCTGTGAGGGGCTGCTGTCTTTACTTTCATGTTGTATTGGTTGATTTTTTTGTTAAAGTGTGTTTGAATGTTCGCTGGTTCCCACCTCCTCCTTCCCATAACAAGTTGCCTTTGTTTTATGGTAGGTTTTAATTTCTGAATCAATTTAGAATGAGAAATCAGGACGAGGGCATTATAACATTTCGATCATTGATCATATCTCTGTATTGTCTTCTCTTCTTCTTTGTATTTGTTGTCCAATTCTAGGAGGAGTTCAATACAGCACTGAAGTCCTTACAAGAGAAACTGAAACACAATGAAAACATTAAAGGAAAGTTTGAGAAAACAGTTCAACACATCAGGGTGAGGAAACACAATCAGGAGTTATCTTCAGTACAGCTGTAGGATCACTGTATACAGTTATGATATGATATAGTTAATATAATGGATTCCAGTTGATTATTTCTGTAAATGACGAGCATCAGTCTGCTTCTGGATCCGTTATATGTCGAGTTTATCTCTGATATGAATGATGTGAAGTGTTGATGTGTGTCGATTGAGATGATTGAAGTGAACGTGATGTGATTTCAGGCTCAAGCTGAGCACACAGAGCGTCAGATTAAACTGCAGTTTGAGAAGCTTCATCAGTTTCTCCGAGATGAAGAAGAAGCTACAGTCACTGCACTGAAGGAGGAAGAGGAGCAGAAGCAGCAGATGATGAAGGAGAAGCTGGAGGAGATGAACACACACATCTCAGCTCTTTCACACACACTCAAAGACATGGAGGAGATGATGAATGCCAATGACGTCTGCTTTCTGAAGGTCTGATTTCAGATCATTGGTTGATTGATTGAGTTCTTGATGATAATGGTGTGTTTGTTCTGCAGGAGTTTCCAGTCTCAATGGAAAGGTGAGTGATCTGCTCCCGTCTCTGGTCTCTCTGGTTCTGATCCAAAGCCACTGCAGTTCTGACTCCTGAATGTTCTTCCAGAGTCCAGAGCTCACGGCCGGATCCACAGATGGCGTCTGGAGCTTTGATTCATGTGCCACGACACTTGGGCAACCTGCCGTTCAGAGTCTGGAAGAAGATGCAGGACATCGTCCAAAACAGTGAGTCTGAAGATCTGAGCTATAGATAGATGATAGATAGATGGATAGATAGATAGATAGATAGATAGATAGATAGATAGATAGATAGATAGATAGATAGATAGATAGATAGATAGATAGATAGATAGATAGATAGATAGATAGATAGATAGATATCCAGTTTGTCCTTAAATTCTCGTTTCTGGGACGACGGCTTTTAAAAACTTATTTCTGTGTTTTTAAGCTTGTTTGTTATAAAGTTTAGGGATGTTGTCTGTTTAAATATGATTTTTATTTTTATTTATTAATGTAATGAGTTTTTAGTTGGAGTTTGAACAGTTTTGATCCTCATTTTTAGGAAAACTGTAAGTCTGATCCGTTATAAAAGATAAAGCCGGAGTCAGGACCGAGTCTGGAGGTTTTTAGCAGGAGTTACAATTAGAACATTTAGTCTCAGAATAATCATAATAATTTCTCAATCCAGAATAGTTAGTCAAACACAACAGACTGTCAGAATAAACTGTTTTAAATCGATACACAGACTGTCCACCTTATTTCCAGCTCCCATGATTCCATTTCCTTGCTCGACTTCCTATATTTAAATTTCCCACAGTATCAGTTTCTGTTGATGGACACAAATGTCTGAATCCCATATTTAATGTTTGTAGTTGATGCCGTTAAACGCTGATGATAAAACGAGTGTGAAACTAATAACAGCACTGACAGTGATCAGAGGAAAATGAGTTTGATCAACAGGACGAGTGTTATAATTCATAATAATCTGTGTTGGGTTCACTGTTGATCATTAGATGAAGATCAGAATTAAAGCATGTGTTGATTGTGTCTCATCAGCTCCTGTGATTCTGGATCCAAACACTGCGAATCCACGTCTCGTCCTGTCTGATGATCTGACCAGTGTGAGAAACAGCGAGAACAGACAAACTCTTCCTGATAATCCAGAGAGATTTGACTGTTTTCCCTGTGTTCTGGGTTCAGAGGGTTTTAACTCAGGATCACACTGCTGGGATGTGGACGTTAAAGAGAGTTTATGCTGGACTCTTGGAGTAACTTCAGCATCAGCCCAGAGGAAGGGACTCGGTTTCTTCAACACTGATGTCTGGAGAGTGTCGTACGGATTGACTCCAGGTTTTGGTTTTCATGTTAAACAGAAGCGTGATCGTGTGAGAGTGAATCTGGACTATGATGGAGGAACAGTGTCGTTCTCTGATCCTGTAACTAACACACATCTACACACACACACAGCCACCTTCACACACACACTCTTTCCATTCTTCTTGTGTTTTTCTTCCTCTCTGAGGATCTTACCGGTCAACACTCAGTAAAGTGACTCCTGTAGATCTGGATCTTCCTGCTTTCATCATGTTTCCAATATTTACTCCATATCTCATGAGTAAGAGTGCTGTAGATCTGAGTATCAGTACGGCTGCTGTGATTGGCCCGTGATGATCACATGACTGATATCCAGCACTACAGCAACACACACACTCTCATGTTGCTTTAACAGATCAATAAACAACAGGGAAGTTTGTCACTCCCTCATTTTCATAGTATTATATAATATTTTCTTCTTCTATAGTCTGATTCTACACATGCTCAGTTTCAGTGAATTTGTAAATTAATAATTGTTTATTTCAGTTTAAATGGTCATTTGCTCACTTAAGTCCATGGATGTAAATGATAACAGGGCGACGAGAGGGTCCGTATCTCTCCTCATTGGAGGAAGCGTACGGGCTAACCTGGGTCATGTGACGCTCCTCAGCCTATCAGCACATCTCCTGTTTGGACTCTTTATCCTCAACTTGTTTGTGGTGGCATTTCTTTTCTCTTAATGTGTAATTATGATATATCCACACTCCCTCTCAAACGCTCCAACGTTCATCATCAGGTTCTCTTAGCATGGGCTCTAATTTATAAACATTACTTTTCATCATGTTTAACTCATCTCCATACCAGCGTGAGTCCCATCTTCAACCACACAGCTGGATAATATTCTGACTCACTGTTCTTGATCCAGTCTGACCTCTGACCTCTGACCTGTGACGCCTGAATCATCCTCACACACTGTTGGCCAGAGGACTGAGCTGAGGGTTTCTCCATTCTGATGGAGTTTGGGTTCCTCCACTGTCCCCTTGGCTTTAGGCGGCTTAGTTATGGACATTTAATATTCAACTATTTTACTGATCTGCCTTCATGTGGACGATGATGAAATATTCTTCTAGAAACAAACTTTGCTGTATTATTTTCATGTTATCACTGAGACACAATCTGTCCTGTAAAAGCACTATATTAATAAAGGTGGCTTGACTTGACCACAGTGATGTTTTATCTGGAACAATAAGAGTCCATTTTATGACAATGGGCTTTATGCACAGCTGCGCTACTTCCTGAACTTCAGCCAGCTCCTTGTTTCCTGTCTGCCATTATTGGCCAAATTGATTAATTCAGGTGTACCTGACCTCAGTAGTCATGACAACAATAATCAGACACACCTGAATTAATCAATTTGGCCAATAATGGCAGACAGGAAACAAGGAGCTGGCTGAAGTTCAGGAAGTAGCGCAGCTGTGCATGAAGTCAATTGGTTCAGTAAGAGTTAATGTTTTCTGGACTAGTTGTTTAATAAGCAAGATATTCAGAACATCTTTCCAAAACACCAATAACCCCAGACTCGGTAACCCCAGACTCGGTAACCCCAGACTCGGTAACCCCAGACTCGGTAACCCCAGACTCGGTAACCCCAGACTCGATAACCCCAGACTCGGTAACCCCAGACTCGGTAACCCCAGACTCGGTAACCCCAGACTCGGTAACCCCAGACTCGGTAACCCCAGACTCGGTAACCCCAGACTCGGTAACCCCAGACTCGGTAACCCCAGACTCGGTAACCCCAGACTCGGTAACCCCAGACTCGATAACCCCAGACTCGGTAACCCCAGACTCGGTAACCCCAGACTCGGTAACCCCAGACTCGGTAACCCCAGACTCGGTAACCCCAGACTCGATAACCCCAGACTCGATAACCCCAGACTCGGTAACCCCAGACTCGGTAACCCCAGACTCGGTAACCCCAGACTCGGTAACCCCAGACTCGGTAACCCCAGACTCGGTAACCCCAGACTCGGTAACCCCAGACTCGATAACCCCAGACTCGGTAACCCCAGACTCGGTAACCCCAGACTCGGTAACCCCAGACTCGGTAACCCCAGACTCGGTAACCCCAGACTCGGTAACCCCAGACTCGATAACCCCAGACTCGGTAACCCCAGACTCGATAACCCCAGACTCGGTAACCCCAGACTCGATAACCCCAGACTCGATAACCCCAGACTCGGTAACCCCAGACTCGGTAACCCCAGACTCGGTAACCCCAGACTCGGTAACCCCAGACTCGATAACCCCAGACTCGGTAACCCCAGACTCGGTAACCCCAGACTCGATAACCCCAGACTCGGTAACCCCAGACTCGGTAACCCCAGACTCGGTAACCCCAGACTCGATAACCCCAGACTCGATAACCCCAGACTCGGTAACCCCAGACTCGATAACCCCAGACTCGGTAACCCCAGACTCGATAACCCCAGACTCGGTAACCCCAGACTCGGTAACCCCAGACTCGGTAACCCCAGACTCGGTAACCCCAGACTCGGTAACCCCAGACTCGGTAACCCCAGACTCGGTAACCCCAGACTCGGTAACCCCAGACTCGGTAACCCCAGACTCGGTAACCCCAGACTCGGTAACCCCAGACTCGATAACCCCAGACTCGATAACCCCAGACTCGATAACCCCAGACTCGGTAACCCCAGACTCGATAACCCCAGACTCAATTCCAGACAATTTGTTTCAGAAGCATCTCACGATTTTGCTCCCTTATCTGATCATAGATTGATTAATATTCATTTAGTAGGCACTAAACAAAATCAAAACAATCTTCGTGGTTTTTGGAAACTAAATAATGACATATTAAATGATGAAATATTTTGTGGTGATTTTAAAAGAATAGCAAAACAGACATTTGGGGGTCCTAAGATGAATCATACACAAAAATGGGAATACTTTAAATTTAAGATAAGAGAAACAGCAATGAGACGGAGTAAAGAAATAAAGCTTTCATAAGGTCAAGAGCAAAATGGTTGGAATTAAGCGAAAAGAACTCTAGCTACCTTTCTTGCCCTAGAGAAACGAAATCAAAAAAGAAATAATATGTCTGCACTCAAGATGGATGATGTCATAACCACTAATCATTTGGACATTTCAAAATATGTTTATTCATTCTACAGTAATATATACAAATCAAATTCCCAAATCAATGATTGTGATAAGTTTATTGAATCAATTAAAAAATATACACCAACCATTTTAGTGAACAACCCATCACAAAATCAGAAATATCAGAAGGAATATCTCCAGGCAACGACGGCCTCTCGATTGAATTATATTTACATTTCTGGAATATTATTGTGGATCCTTTATTGGAATTATTTAAGGAATGTAAAGATAAGAAAGATAGGTCAACAAGTATGAAACAGGGTATTATAACGCTAATCCCTAACCTTATGATAGAAAATTGGAGACCTATACGCTCCTGAATATAGATTACAAAATTATTTCATTGGTATATGCTAAAAGGTTAAAAGAAAATCTTGGAGAAATTATCGCCGAAACTCAGACACCGTCATCAGTTCCAACATAAGGCTTGTTCTTGACTTATTACACTACTCTGAAAACATTGATAATGACTCCCTTACAGTTTTTCTTGAGTTTTACAAGGCTTTTGATACGGTGGAATATCATTTTTTGTTTAAAGCACTTCAAACCTTCAAACCAAAATTTTATTTCAACAATTGGAATGTTTTATCAAAATACTGACAGTTGTGTCATAATATCCAAACACTACCCGTAGATTTCCAGTGATTTCAAGTCCGTCAAGGCTGTCTGATTTCTCCCTTTTTATTTTTGATCGTTGTCGAATTGCTCTCATTACATATTTTAAAGAACCCAATAATTGAAGGTTTGTCTATTTTTGGAAACTGACCCAACTAGCTGATGATACAGCATTCTGGACTAAAATTGAATAAATCTAAATGTGAAATTGTATGTCTGTTTGAAACAAACGTTAAAACCATATGTAATATGCCTGGTAAAAATTGTATTAAATATCTCGGTATTTTTGTTTGTAAGAATGTTATAGAGCGCCAACGATTTAACTTCTCCTCCAAAATGAACAAATCTAAAACTATATTGAACCAATATATGGCTTCAAAGAGACTTATTCATCTTAGGTATAGGGTCCTAAGGCTGAAGGAGTTTCTAGATTTGAGTATCCAGCACGTGATTCTACATGTAAAGAAATCAATTTTTGTAAAATCTGCATGGAAAAAAAAGCTTTGCTTTCTGGTCCTAAAGCTAAAGGGGGCTTTGATCTATTATACTTTGTGGATTTAAATATATACTTTTAAATAATAATTTTAAAGAATATACTTCTAAGGGAAATGGTTAAAGGAATGCTTAAAAGCCCCATGCAGACTCAATATGGAATTTTATTCCTCTTAATATATTCAAGAAGGTTGGAGGTCTCAAGTTCTCAGTATTTCTAAATTACCAGTTAAGATGTCAGGATTTCATCAACAAGCTCTGTTAGCCTGGAAGCGTTGTCATTCACACAACTTTTCACCACAGAAATCTAGCATTTGTAACAATATGTATATTATTAAAAGGAGCAAATCATTGTATTTACAAAACTGGATAGATAATAATATCATTTACTTAAAAGATTTTTTTAACCCTAATGGTCAACTTCTTAGCTATGAAGATTTTCTTACACAGAAAACTTTTCCTGTAAAATTTAAAGTATTTAGCTCCGTAATTAACTCTATTCCCATGGATTATTAGAATTAATGAAAAGCTATGTAGAGCAAACTGTACAACGCATTACTCCTAACATACTTTACATAAATGGTATTGACATTCTAAGCAAAAAATTTACTAATAAACATATCAGGGAATGTTTCTACAATGCCAAATAAATAATACCAAGAGGGAAATTTTTCTGGAATGCTATTTTTATGAATATTAATTGGCAGAAGGCATGGCTTGTTCCTTTTAAATTTTGTGTCACATCTAAAAATATTACATAACATACACCTAAGATGTACATTTCAACATTTCTTGATATTGATAACAAATGTAGCTACTTTTTGTAAAAATGAACTTGAAAATGTAACCCACTTGTTTTATTGTTGTTCATACAGTAATGCATTTTGGAAAGAACTTGAGAATTATATATTATGTAAAACAAAACACAAAATCAACATTGAGGGGAAGAACATTGTCACTTATTTTGAATACAAACAATACAAAGAATAAACTTTTACATTTTGTTAGGTAAGTTTCATATCCATAAGTGTAAATTCCAGAATTCTTCACCATCATTTAAGTTGTTTTTGATAGAGGTGGATTTTTATTTTAAGTCTCTTCATTTAATTACAAACAAGAAATGCATATCTGAACATTCATTCAGAAATGTTTAATGGTTAATATGTCACTAGAGTTATTTTTGTCATGGGATACAAATCTGTCACAAGTTTATTTTTCTTTATTGGTAACTTGCTTTTTTTCTTGTTTTTTTCAACCTTTATTGTATTGTATTGAGACAATTATAATGTGAACTGGAAAGACTGAAATGTTGTTTTTATGTTTAAAAAAAAAAAAAAACATTTACTGCAGCTATTATACGTTTTTACTATTACAGCTATCGAGATTAACGAATCATGGGAATTTTTCCGAGTATTTAAATGTTGCTGTGATGAGCATTGAGCAGCAGATAACACTAATATATAAAGTAAATCCATGAATAGAGAAGAACAAAAAAAAACGTCTTGACCCCTTGAGCAGGTTTCGAGAGTCATGCCCTTCGGCACTAAATAAAGGAATAGACTTAGCCCTAAATAAAAATCTTTAATTATTTTTTAAATGAAACAATCTTCTGGGACAGAAAAGCAGCTTTTCCACGTTTTGACCACAAGGTGTCGTTAGTGAGCAGCGTGTTGAAGAGCTTTGAGTAATGAAACATGTGAGAGACAGTCGAGAGGTCACCAGCTTCATTTCACCATCACTAGTAATTTCCTTTTGGAATAATTTGTTTATTAACTTTAATAAAAAAAAAAAAAATAATAAAAAAAAATCGAGCCTTTACAGCAGAAATTCTCACAAATAAAGTGAAAGAAATCTCCTTGAATCTCACACATGTTCTATCCTGTTAGGAAATGTAGACCTATTCAAAGATAGAAATGCTCAAACAAACAGGCATTAAGCCCTCAAAGCAAACGAAATATACATTTCTCCTGAAACAAATAAAAAGGAGAAAACTAGAAACATTCAAATTTATGAAGTGTGACCTTAGCCATCATATTGAGCTTTAATAACACACACACACACACACACTATACTTTTTTGGTGACATATAAAAAGGCAAAATAAAGACATTGAAAGTTTAATATTTAGTTTTTCCGCTCTTGATCTGTAACCTTCACTTGAAGACCACATGTTTGAGCTGTCTGGATGATTAGAGAAGAGAAGCTGTCCCTGTGCACGACGGCTGTGGTTTGTGGTGAGTTTATCATCTACATCCGTTCACAATCATCCTGACCAATGTTTCAGTAAACAGAGTAATGGTTTTAAAGCCTCAACTCACATTACTCAAAACAGCAAAGGCACAGCGAGCCGACTGAAGAGGAAATATGAGTCCACCACAGATCTGCCTGATAATCTGCCTTTAACACGACTGCTGTGAAACTGGTCTTCTGTCGTCTGCTGAAAGAGATTATGCCGACACACGTGATCAGCTCCACTTTCCCAGGGCATGAAACCCACAACCTTAATATGAGGACGGCATTCTCCACGGTTTGGGCTTCAGGACCGCTGTTCAGATCCAGGAGCCGTTCTCTAGAGCTTTCTTCCTTTCTGTTTATTGTAATAAAGTGTATTAAATAGTTTATAGTTTATATGGCATTTGGCTGTTATTGATCAGATTATCCCACACTGGTCCCAGTATGAAGAACACACCTGATGCTGGTGATCCTTCAGTCACTGGAGAACCAGAAACACTTCACGGAAACAGAGAAAACGGTTACGGATCTGACTGGGGAAACAATTATTTTGATTGGATTTCATTAATAAAGTTTTTCCTTCATTTTTACTAGTTTTAGAAAACAGACCAGAATGACATTTATAATGTTTAATTAGATTAACTAACTTCCCTTTCCTGAAAACAGAATCTGTTAGACACACTGTCACTGATTACATAGAGTATATTTTACAATTTTAAATAGTATGATTTCATTCCTTTATACATCATATTCAGTATTATATACAGTAGTTTAATAATAATTTAATTTCATCTCATGCACGAAATTGGTTGAATTTGCATTAGTTCTTGTAATTCTTGTTAATAATGTATTCTCTACTATAAACGCAGATATTTTCGTCCTTCATCATTGGCCAGAAGTTATTATAGTTTATTTTCCACTCTTATGTAAAGCGCTGTGTATTTTAAGAGGAAAGCAGACGTTCTGTACGTAAAGCAAGTCCCTCCTTCTCTGTTCACACACACACACGCAAACACACACACACACGCACACACACACACACACACACACACACACACACACACACACACACAGATTCATCAAACGAGCTTCTAGACATCAGCAAATCTCATTTCAGGTGAAATCATTTATCAGTTAACAATTTTTTTCTCTAGATTTTTAGACAGTTTACTATTTGTGAAACAACATTGAAAAAATCTTCCAGTGGTTGTTTTTTTTTTGTTAAAACTTAAACTCAACTAAAACTTTAAATGTTTTGTGAATTGTTTGGATGAAGGCATCCTTGTCAAACAGGTATTTCGCTATGAGAAGTACAGATATTTTTGTTATCTTTAAATAGTCAAAGTACGTGGCTCACATTTCTTCTGGAACTTGAACAGGAGTGATATGAGCATGAAATAAACATGATATGAACATGATATGAACACGATTACAGGTGACACCCAGAGCTGTTCCTGAGATGGACACCGGCGAGGTCAAAGATACGGTCATCAGATTAAAGGTGACACAAGGAAACATTATTTCTGTTGATGGACAGGAGACCGAAGGACAATATCTAAATGCAGTTCTTCTTAAAGGATTTTTGAAATTGCAACCAAAGGCGTTGGGGGTAACGCATTTACTTAATACCACATTAATTATAATAATACATCGTTTTAGGAATTTTCTGAGTATTTCTTCTAGATTGCCGTCTCCATTCACACATGTATGTTATGCCATAATGAATGAAACGCCTGACCTATCTCTGCCCGTAGACTGTGCAGGTGATGATCGGAGTGGTGGTCTTCTTTCTCGGTGTTCTGCTCACCCTCAACGACTACAATTATCCTGCTATTCTGGTCTATAGTGGCATCACCTACTGGGGCTCTTGCATTGTGAGTTTCACTCCATGTTTTTCCTATTTGCCACTCTTTTAATTTCCAGAATGACCTGAAATGCCGTTTCTTCCTCAGTTCATCATTGCTGGATCTCTGTCTGTTGCTGCGCAGGATAAACGTCATCCTTCTGTGGTGTGAACATGTCCCTTAATAACTGATATATAACTGAGAGAAAGCCCAACACGGGGAACACAAGCCGTCTCTCACAACACATTATACTCGAACACCCTGGGACGCAACACCCGACTTAAAAACAATTATGAGTTTCTGCAAGCCTTTTTAATGATCTGTTGTTTGAGTAAAATTGTGTGAGAGTTCATGCTGTGTTTGTACAGGTCAAAGCCTCTCTTGGAATGAATGTGTTCAGTGCCGTAACTGCAGGACTCGCCATTCCTCTGATGTCCGTACAGTTAGCTGTCATATCAATGATGGATCCAAGTTTATATGCTGAGGTATTACAGGACATATTTTTTTATTCATGTGTGATGTGTTTTTATCTTTTATTAATTACTTTTTTGTTTAAAATTCTGTCATATGACTAGTATGACTTTTTTCTTCCTTGGCCCGATCAGACAGAGCGCCTTTAATTTGTTTTCTATCTGCAGGGAGAGTTTTCTCGTGTTTCAGTCGGCTTCTGCGCCTCGGGCTTTTGCAGGAAGTAAAAAAAAAATCAACTTGATGTCATTACGTTTTTTTCCCACTGTCCAATCGAATGACTGGAGAGGCGGGCCTTACTGTTTATATTTCAGAACGTTTATTCTGGAATGAAGGATGAGAAATTTAGCCTAACCCTAACCGCTTCAGTCGGTCACGTTTGACTTATTGCTGCCACTTCCAGCGCAGCGTGAGCTCCGGATCCTTTGGGCACCTTGGGGCGTGAGATGGGAAAGAGGTTAGGCCAAGGAAGTCTGAACTGCTGTTCCACATTACACATTCAGACAGAATCGGATAACACTGGGAAAGCGTGTCGTTTCAGTGGACAGGGAGCGCTGCAGAAGCCCCATCCGCACCCACAGGTATCAGAGCGGTATCATGTGGGAGTTACACATATGGACTGGGCGTGAGGGCAGTCCAGCACATGTCACTGAGATGACTCCAGCCTGTAGGGGGGGCAACACCGGTCAGAGACAGCAGAGCGAGGCAAAGACACAGGCTCACCTCAGGGGGCAGTACTGTGGAAGAATACACATATGGGATCCACCAATGCACACGAGTGTTAGGCCTGGGGTGTGTGAGGAACTGGCTGACGGGAATCTCACCAGGAGCAGAAATGGCACACGTATCCGGTCCATGAGAGGGGAATGGCACAGCAATGGGGGGTCTATGGTTTTGACTGGCTATTGGAAGCACACCACCAGCTCGACATGAAGGCTATAAAACCTAACAAGCGTGTGGATGTAGTGGAGTGGGCTCACAACCTGAGGGGAATGGCAGGCCTTGGGATTGGCACGCCAAGATGATGGCATCCACTATCCAAACTCTGCTTGGAGACAGCCTTCCCCTTCTGCTGACCTCCGTAAGAGACAGAGAGCTGGTCTGAAGAGCTGAGGCTCTCTGTCCATGTATAGATGCAGAGCACGAACGGTACAGAGAGAAGCCGGGGCTGGGCCTGCCTCCTGAAGCAGTCTCGTATGAAGCAAACCCAGCGGTGTTTCCCTCTTGATGTGGATGCCATACGCCCCAGGAGCCTCTGAAACAGTTTCAGTGGCCACATTCTGCTCTTGATTGTATTCAAGCAGTTCAACCCTGAGCGTTCCTCTGTGAGGCGGGCCATCTGTCTGACCGAGTCCAGCTCCACACCGAGAATAGAGATCCTCTGCAGTTTGCTCTTTTCCCAGTTGACCTGAAGGCCCAGAGGTGACTGAGCACCGTGTCCCTGTGTTCGAACTGCTGCCGAGACTGAGATAGGATCAGCCAGTATTCGAGATCGTTGAGGATGGGAACGCTACGCTCTCTCATGGGAGAGTCTCTCCTTCGTAGAGACACGAGGCGACAGGGACGGCCTGAAGGGTAGGACTCTGTACTGATATGCTTGACCCTCGAACAAGAAAAGCGCTGGAACGACCTCCGAACGTGTCGAGGTATGAAAGTATACGTCCTTCAGGTCGATTGCTGCAAAAGACAGATGCATTCAAAAATGCGTTTCTGCGTTAGCGTCTTGAACGGGAGCCTGTTCGAGGCCCGACTCAAGGTTCACAGATCCAAGATTGGCGTAACCCACCGCCTTCCGTGGGTACGAAGAAATACGGGCTGCAGACGGCGGCCTTTACATCGGCTGGAGGGACCGGCTCTATTGTGTCCTTCGCCAGCAGGACTGCGATCTCCGGACGCTGGAAAGGGCTCATTTGTTCAACACAGAGTTGAAGTGAACACCCTGGTCTTGGGTGGGTGCCGGGTGAACTGAAGTCTGATGGCATGGAGGAACCAGTTGGACGGGTTAGCCAGGCTCCCAGAGACGAACCAGGGGGACCAGAGGCACCACAGACACACCCGCAGTGGGGCAGCGCGGTGGAAGACGGGACTCGACTCGGCAGGTATAGCGACCCGAGCAGGGTCTGAGTGTCCGGTTTCCACGGATCGGCAGGGGTGCGTGACAAGGCATACTCGGGTTTGTGAACCACACCAGGGTGGCAAGGGTTTACAGGGTTGCACACCGCCAGTCTGGCCCTCTTGGGTCACAGGAATAAAGGAATTTGCTCTTTTTTGAAAATGTGGAAAAGCCTCGGTTCCCCAGCCGGCTCTACACTGAGGCCTGGGTGCTGCTGGGGCCGAGCGGGAGCGGAGGTGGTGGCGCGGGGGACGCCCTCGGTGACGGGCAGGCGGGAGATCTGCGGCGGGTGGCGGAACAGAAACAACCGTTGCAAATTAGCTCAAAAAGGGAATAAATATATTTGATATATTTAAATATATTTAATTGATGATAATTAGTTATCGTTCATCATGAATGAATGGGGTGGATATTCGTTGAGTGACTGTGGGCCCTCATTTCCAGGGCAGATCACTCCAAATCAAGCGACGAGGTCAAGCCAGGACCTTAACATCACCCGGCTCCTCGGAGGCGCAGTCCTGCATGGAGAACAGTCACTCCTCTGTATTTAAAGCTGAGGCTCAATTATTCCCATCCCCGCGCCTCCACTGCTTCCTGCTTTCAGGCTCCGAGAGGGAGAGGACAGTGGATATCGAGGGGCGGCGAGAGCAGGAGCGCAAACGAGTTTTCCCATTCTCACAATACAAGTGAAGCGTATCGATAGGGAACCTATGACCTCAGAAGGAATCTTTTGGTTTGCAGACTGATCTCATGAAGTAGCGTGTGTATGACACGCCAATTCGTATTTCCATTTTTGGCGTGCTATCAAGACGCATAATCGCTTTTCAGCGCGTTTATGAACGTCGTTGACTTAACGTTATTACTGTTTATATAAATATATGACTTACCTCAACCCCGTCCCTAAACCTACCCGTCACTGGGGTTAATGGCATTTATGACTGGACATTTGATGTCGTGTACAGACACGCAGAATCACTCGGACGTTAGTGGCGTAGACATTCACGCATACACGCGGATAGCTCAAAATGCGTAGAGATAACACACCACTTGACTCGAAAGTGGCGTGTATGTTTATGCAAAAGTCATGATGTCATGTTGTGGTTTGTGACTTTTCTTTTTTAAGCTTGAATGCCTTATGTATCATTTATTATAAATGTGTTTAAAACAGTCATCAAGATGTGTCCTGTTCACAGAGGAAAGAACGGTGTATGAAGTAATGACAGAATTTTTCTTAATTGCTTTATTTTTCTTATTGCTTGAATATCCTGATTGGTGGGACTGTCATAAGTAGCTCAAACTATGCATGCTTCTCAATTACTTGTGTTGAATGTTTTTTAGTATTTCAGTTTGCGGATCGTTGGAATAATGCTGGTGTTCACCGTTCCCCAGTTCATCATCTCCATCTGTGTGTCTGCATTCGCCTGCAAAGCCTCCTATAACACACACTCTACACTGGTCAACGTGGCACTAAACCAGGTACACGACTCACAGTAATCCAAATCCACTTCAAATCCACTAAATAAGCCACAAAGGTATAGAGTTCAGAATGAAAAAGAAATATAAAGTTACCAGAAAGTTTCATGGTAAACTGCCTTTAACATTGCTTATCATGAAATAGATATAATAGGAAATATTAGTCAATCACAAAACATATCTTATCTGTTTCTTCCCAGGGACACTGAACCACAGAGAGGAGATCAGCCAGACAAAGTTAGAGACGAATTAATGCTTAATATATATATATATATATATATATATATATATATATATATATGTATGTATGTGTATATATATATATATATATATATATATATATACACACACACACACACTACCAGTCAAAAGTTTTAGATCGTTTTTTTTATGTTTTTAAAGGAAATCTCTTCTGCTCACCAAGGCTGCAATTATTTGATAAAAAAATACCAAAAAACAACAAAACCCCCCCCCCCCCCAGTAATATTGTGAAATATTACAATTTAAAACAGCAATTTTCTATGTGAATATATAGTGAAGTGTAATTTATTCCTGTGATCAAAGCTGAATTTACAGCATCATCACTCCAGTCTTCAGTGTCACATGATACAGAAATTATTAATATGAGCTCAAGAAACATTTATGATTATTATCTATGTTTAAAACAGTTTTTTACATTTTTATTTCAGGAATTTTTGATGAATAGAAAGTTCAAAAGAACAGAATTGATCTGAAATGGAAAGCTTTTGTAACATTAATCACTACCATTCAAAAGTTTGGGGTCAGTAAGAATTTATTTTTTATTTTGGGGGGGAAAAAATTAGAAAATACTTTTATTTATCAAGGATGAGTTAAATTGATCAAAAGTTACAGAAAAAAACATTTGTAACAATTTGCATTTAAACTCTTTGTTTTTCCACAGATATATCACTATAAACGCACAAGGGGATCTTTAGAATGTCAGCAATAATCAGAAAAATACACTTCAATCGTAACACATTCTCAATATTTTCTTCATCAAATAACCATGCTCAAGCACAAATGCATGGAAGTTTTTTGAAAACACACTGTACCAAAACAAATCTTCAGACGGCGCTGAAGATCACAAAAAAACAAAACAAAAAACAAACACCAACAAGCAAAAAAACAAACAAAAACAAAACAAAACAAAACAAAACATATCATTCCATTCATTTGCTTGACGCGTATATTATGAAAGAAGAATCGTCCCGTGCGTGCAACCCCACAATTTCCCCACTTCTCTCTGTCCCAGTCCCAAAACAAATGTCCAGTTTTGCTCAAGATCGCGCTACAGTCTTTCCAACCAAGTCAGTTCGCGAGAAATTATCCTCTGTTGGCTTCTTGACAATAAACGTAATCCACAAACAAAGGGAAAAAATAGAGCCTTGACTCTCTGGTGTTCCACTCAAAAAACAAACAAACAAACAAAAACAAAAAAATTAAAAAGTAATGAGTCAGATCTCACCAGCTCTGTAGATCGTCGGACAATATTAACTCACACAGTTATGAAACTTGAGTCCAAGTACGTCCTCTTGCTGGAAACGCGCACCCCAGTACAGTCCGGGTGGTTAACATATATTTTGTCCCATTAAATCCTTTACGTTTCGATTGGAATCTCTCAGACCATAAGGAAAGCTTTACTCTTTAACGCTGCAGCAAACAATACTGGCACGCCATTTTTTTCAAACACACCTCACCACCATTAAATAAACTTATGTGCGCCTTGCCCCGTAATCAAGAGCGTCCGAAACCTTAAAGGGATATTACCAAAATACACTGTAGACACCAAGTATATTAAAGAGCCCCTATCATGGATTTTTGAAAATTCATGAAAGTTCATGTAGTGTGGAATATAGCTCTAAGGGAATGAAAACATCCTACAAAGATTTATATCTGAAAGTGCACCGGATATAAAGTTATTGTCTTTCAAAAGTGAGAGTTGACTCTGAGTCTATAAAATGAGTTGTTTTTGAAACGAGTCATTAGCTGTTACATCGTGACGCAGATACAAAACATCAGCTCATTGGCCGCTCCCAACAACTGCGCACACAGACGGAAGTGTAAACTTGAAGTCTAGAACACATTCAAATACTTCATCATCGCATCATGTCGAGAAGACGCTGTTCTACATTGCAAAGACAGTTCAGCCACTTGTTTCCATTGTCCAGGGACGAGCATGTGAAGAATCAGTGGTCAGAGTTCATATTTGCAACGATACCACAGCAGTATAGCCCGAACCTTGTGTTCTCATCATTTTAATGATGAATCATTCGCAAGCCGGTTGTTCCCGAACGAGGGCTCAGTATCCAGTGTATATGGATCAGGTACGTCCTCCTCCGAATCACAACCTGTAAGTATTATTAATAATGCTTGCTGTTATGTTTTCTGTAGCATGTACACTATAGTTATATTGTGTATATAGTTATATTGTGTATATAGTTCTATATTCGCTCTATATAATAAGCACTGCCCCTAAAAGCCGCCGCAATGTGAGTTTCGGCGGGAAAGCTCGCTCTTGACGGAGACGTGAGTAAGGGGCCGTGTGGAAAGTGCACTTTTTCTGACACGTTTGTTCAAACACTATATACAATTTTCAACACTTGACGAGCTATAATCCTGGTTATGGGCGTCCCGTTGCCGACAGTCTCTGTCTACGGTTTACCAATAACAACTGACTGGGTCATGTGACCAATCGCCGCAGATTTGCGTCACTCAAAGGAGGTGTTTGGGAAAATGACTCGTCGAACGAATCATTTGGGAGTCGTTGAGCAAATAATTTAAAAATAAATGCATATTATAAGACAAATGAAGTGTTTTTTTTATCCTTGCATGCACCTTAAACTGTTTTTGGGAACTCCCAAAACAAATATAGGAACATTTCAGATGCTATGATAGGGGCTCTTTAAACAGGAATACGTACAGTATGAACCATATACATGACATTCATCATACATGAACATTATCCATAACCCATGTAATACGTTCTATGATCCCATAATAGTTTAGCCAAGAAATTATTTTGCAGCAAAGTGCTAACATCTTGATGTAGGTCTGGCATGCCAGGCTAATAACAGTTAATATCTCAAAGAAACCTTTACATTAATGTGATAATATTACACATTTATAATGATAGAAAATATTATATTTTAAATAAAAAATATACACGACTGTTTTCAACATTGAAAATAATATTTTATGTTTTTTGAGCATAAAATCAGCATATTAAAATGATTTCTGAAGGATCATGTGACACTGAAAACTGATGTGTAATCAGCAACAGTAATGATGTTGAAAATTCAGCATTCAAATTACATTTTAAAATAGAAAACAGTCATTTTAAATTGTCATAATATTTCACAATATTACGGTTTGTCATTTTATTTTCATCAAATAAAGCAGCCTTGGTGAGCAGAAGAGACTTCATTAAAAACATAAAAAATCTTACTGATCTAAAACTTTTGACCGGCAGTGTGTATATATATATATATGAAGAGTTCAGATGCAAAAGCCTCTAAATGCCATTTGAAATTTTCTTCTTTAATGATGATTTTTATCAAACTTGTATATTTAAGTTCAGTAATTTCACTTAAATAACAATTAATGGGTAATTCTCATTGCCATTTAAGTGAAATCACTGAACTTAAATATACAAGTTTGATAAAAATCATCATTAAAGAAGAAAATTTCAAATGGCATTTAGAGGCTTTTGCATCTGAACTCTTCATATATATATATATATATTCTAGTGTTACAGGCAAGAATATTTGTGCTTATTTTGCTATTTATTGTAATACTTTTGCATGAGGAAAGGACCAAAGTTTTGTAATATATTACATGTTTGACTTGATTTTATATTTGTTAACCAACTTTCTGAATTAGTATATCTTGGACTTGTATGTTTAGTCTATTGTGATACTGTTGAGCAAACACACACACACACACACACACACACACACACACATAAATAAATTCTGAATAGGCAGTTGTTTCTCACATTTCTAAATTATAGACCTGTTAGCAATCAATCATCTACAGTCTAATAACAGTATAATCATACTCCTGCTCCTATTTCTGAATATTGCTCCATGATGAAGTATTGATCTAAGTAGTCTATGTAAGTAATGTTGTTAATAAAAATAATTTTATGATGTATTCTATAATAAGGCTTTGTTTCAAATGGATGAGAAAATAGCTTATAGTGTGTTTTTGCTGTGAATGATGTGGATGTGTGTTCTGTGTTCATCTAACCACGGCTGCTGGGCCGCATGTTCAAGGGTATCTCGCCTTACACATTTACATTTACAGTTACACATGGGTGCTTTAAGCGGAGAGTAATACATATTTTACAGGTATTTGGTATGTGAAAGATATAGACAATATAATTTATAATATATACATGAAATGATGTATTGAAGCGGATTAAGAGGAGTTTTTAGCAATACAACAAAACTAATGTGGCACTGCATTATTTTAGGGAAAACGGCACGCACAATTTTATCTGTAAAAGGCCAAATAGACAGAAACAGTTTGTCGATAATAAACAGTATAAAACTGGATAGAAACGTGTCGTCATTTCTAGGTCTAGTTCATTATTAGTTGTCTTGGTTTCTAATTAGTTCTCTCCTGTTCCATTAATGTTCTCCTCTGTCCTAATGTCTCCCTTCTGTACATTGAAATGATAATGTTTTTATGAATGCCGTAGTTGTGCAGGGTCCCTCGCATTAATATTACACTCATTGCTTATGGGTAATATTTCAGATTTGTTGATACGAAAATGGCAAAAATATACAGTTAATTTTAGGCCTTTTCCCATTATTTATTGCTAAATCAGAGCCCAACTACAGGATTATGGTGTGTTTTGAACAGAGACACTTCTGATGATGCTTTTAATCACAGATATTTTTGTCCTCAATCAATGGCTATAATGTAGGCTATCTTTTAGATTTTATCTATATGTAAATTTGACCAGAAAGGGCATCAACATAATCTTTAAAATTATAAAGTAAATAAAATAAGTATTTCTTTTAAAGTATAAAGCAAGCTCATATGAAGCAAACTCCTCCTTAGCAGTTCTTCAAGTTCACAGTCCACCACACACACACACACACACACGCACACACCCACACACACACACACACACACACACACACACACAGATACGCCATAAGCGCGATCAGACGTCCTCATCAACAACTCATTTCAGGTAAAATATTTTATGCATCAATTGACATCTATAGTTATTTTATTACTAGTGAGTCTCAGTGTAAACTGTTGTTCGTTTATTGTCATACTTTGGCACATACAATTATATTTAATAGTTTTGCATTTGTTTGGACATTAGGCAAATATAAAATATGCAATCATGCAAAATATTGTGAACAGAGTAAATTTGAGGAGAGGACGACATCTATAAGTGAATGTAAGCCTTAGTAAAGCAAGAATCACGGTTTAATAACTCTGGACAAAGGCATCAGATAATAATGCTTTAATCATAAATACTGTACTGTCCGTGAAATACAAAACATTAAACAACATTGTTTTTTTAAGTTTATTTGAATAGGGACAACTATGTCATGTTCCATATACTACATTTTAGCCGAGGCTAATTCTCAATGTTAGTCCCTAGTGGGCCTTTACATAAAATTAAACAATAAAATAAACAATAAGTTAAAATAAGCACAATAATACAGCATAACACAATATAAAAGCAGCGGACCGTCAGTGATCACATTTCTGACCTCTGATTAAAGAGTCTTTGAGTTTGTGTTTGAAAAGGACCCAGTTTGACTTCAGTGGGTAAAATATAGCGGCTGTTCAGAGAAAGCTGACCGTTCCCGTTCTGAGCTCCTCGATCCCCGAACCCACAGCCCTGAGAGCAACTACTGATTTAAACATTTATGCATCAGCTTCAACAGAGAACATTTAGTGAAATTTGCAAAAGATAACATATTTAAATTCCTCAGACTAACACAATGATGTGTCCTGATGGGCTTCTAGGATTATAACCGCTCTGTTAATAATCATCTGAAGTGGTTTAACTGCAGTAACAGCAGCTGTGAGCGTGAGCAGACGCAGTAACACAACGCTAGAGAGTCCCGATCAGTCTGAATGTATAAAGATTTGCTTTGGTTTGACAGATTTTTTTAATATGATTGTCCAATTTAAGTGGAGAGTCAAGTACAAGGCCCAGGGGTTTGACCTCTGAGACCTGCTGGATCATTTATCTGTAGATTTAGTTCTTCTGAAATGGACTTGGATCTTGAGGCAAAGCAAACAGACATAGTGTTTGTGTAGTGCATAAACCACTGCATCTTTCCCTCGCTCATAAACCACTGCATCATCTTTCCCTCGCTCATAAACCACTGCATCATCTTTCCCTCACACATAAACCACTGCATCATCTTTCCCTCGCTCATAAACCACTGCATCATCTTTCCCTCAAACATAAACCACTGCATCATCTTTCCCTCACACATAAACCACTGCATCATCTTTCCCTCGCTCATAAACCACTGCATCGTCTTTCCCTCGCACATAAACCACTGCATCATCTTTCCCCCACACATAAACCACTGCATCATCTTTCCCTCGTTCATAAACCACTGCATCATCTTTCCCTCGCTCATAAACCACTGCATCATCTTTCCCTCACACATAAACCACTGCATCATCTTTCCCTCGCTCATAAACCACTGCATCGTCTTTCCCTCGCTCATAAACCACTGCATCGTCTTTCCCTCGCACATAAACCACTGCATCATCTTTCCCCCGCTCATAAACCACTGCATCGTCTTTCCCTCGCTCATAAACCACTGCATCGTCTTTCCCTCGCTCATAAACCACTGCATCATCTTTCCCTCACACATAAACCACTGCATCATCTTTCCCTCGCTCATAAACCACTGCATCATCTTTCCCTCGCTCATAAACCACTGCATCGTCTTTCCCTCGCTCATAAACCACTGCATCATCTTTCCCTCGCTCATAAACCACTGCATCGTCTTTCCCTCGCTCATAAACCACTGCATCATCTTTCCCTCGCTCATAAACCACTGCATCATCTTTCCCTCGCTCATAAACCACTGCATCATCTTTCCCTCGCTCATAAACCACTGCATCATCTTTCCCTCGCTCATAAACCACTGCATCGTCTTTCCCTCACACATAAACCACTGCATCATCTTTCCCTCACACATAAACCACTGCATCGTCTTTCCCTCACTCATAAACCACTGCATCATCTTTCCCTCGCTCATAAACCACTGCATCATCTTTCCCTCGCTCATAAACCACTGCATCGTCTTTCCCTCGCACATAAACCACTGCATCGTCTTTCCCTCGCTCATAAACCACTGCATCGTCTTTCCCTCGCTCATAAACCACTGCATCATCTTTCCCTCACACATAAACCACTGCATCGTCTTTCCCTCACTCATAAACCACTGCATCGTCTTTCCCTCGCTCATAAACCACTGCATCGTCTTTCCCTCGCTCATAAACCACTGCATCGTCTTTCCCACGCTGATAAACCACTGCATCGTCTTTCCCTCGCTCATAAACCACTGCATCGTCTTTCCCCCACACATAAACCACTGCATCATCTTTCCCTCGCACATAAACCACTGCATCATCTTTCCCCCACACATAAACCACTGCATCATCTTTCCCTCGCTCATAAACCACTGCATCATCTTTCCCTCGCTCATAAACCACTGCATCATCTTTCCCTCGCTCATAAACCACTGCATCATCTTTCCCTCGCTCATAAACCACTGCATCGTCTTTCCCACGCTGATAAACCACTGCATCGTCTTTCCCTCGCTCATAAACCACTGCATCGTCTTTCCCTCGCTCATAAACCACTGCATCGTCTTTCCCTCGCACATAAACCACTGCATCATCTTTCCCCCACACATAAACCATTGCAACATCTTTCCCTCGCACATAAACCACTGCATCATCTTTCCCCCACACATAAACCATTGCAACATCTTTCCCTCGCTCATAAACCACTGCATCGTCTTTCTCTCGCACATAAACCACTGCATCATCTTTCCCCCACACATAAACCATTGCAACATCTTTCCCTCGCACATAAACCACTGCATCATCTTTCCCCCACACATAAACCATTGCAACATCTTTCCCTCGCACATAAACCACTGCATCATCTTTCCCCCACACATAAACCATTGCAACATCTTTCCCTCGCACATAAACCACTGCATCATCTTTCCCCCACACATAAACCATTGCAACATCTTTCCCTCGCTCATAAACCACTGCATCGTCTTTCCCTCGCTCATAAACCACTGCATCGTCTTTCCCTCACACATAAACCACTGCATCGTCTTTCCCTCGCACATAAACCACTGCATCATCTTTCCCTCGCACATAAACCACTGCATCATCTTTCCCCCACACATAAACCATTGCAACATCTTTCCCTCGCACATAAACCACTGCATCATCTTTCCCCCACACATAAACCATTGCAACATCTTTCCCTCGCTCATAAACCACTGCATCGTCTTTCCCTCGCTCATAAACCACTGCATCGTCTTTCCCTCACACATAAACCACTGCATCGTCTTTCCCTCGCACATAAACCACTGCATCATCTTTCCCTCGCTCATAAACCACTGCATCATCTTTCCCTCGCTCATAAACCACTGCATCATCTTTCCCTCGCTCATAAACCACTGCATCGTCTTTCCCTCACACATAAACCACTGCATCATCTTTCCCTCGCTCATAAACCACTGCATCGTCTTTCCCTCGCTCATAAACCACTGCATCGTCTTTCCCTCGCTCATAAACCACTGCATCGTCTTTCCCTCACACATAAACCACTGCATCGTCTTTCCCTCGCTCATAAATCACTGCATCGTCTTTCCCTCGCTCATAAACCACTGCATCGTCTTTCCCTCGCTCATAAACCACTGCATCGTCTTTCCCTCGCTCATAAACCACTGCATCGTCTTTCCCTCGCTCATAAACCACTGCATCGTCTTTCCCTCACTCATAAACCACTGCATCGTCGGCGTATCTGAACTCCTGCTGTCGGACACGAGTCGGGCAGATCTTTCATATACAGTGTAAAGAGCAAGGGCCCAAGAACAGACCCCTGTGGTACTCCTGTGCTCATTATTAAGAATATAGACATTTCATTATTGACCACCACACACTGATCTCTCAGTTCAAGTTATGATTCGAACCACTGTAAAGGTAATGTTGTTAAAATTGGACAATTTGTGTATAAGGATGTCCTGATTTAGCGTATCAAACCCCTTTTTGAGATCCAAAAAGACGGCACCAACAATATTTCTCCACTATCTATTGCAAAGTTGAATTGTTCCACAAAGAATCAGTTTGTCGTTTCGGTGGAGGATTGAGGACGGAAGCCAAATTGTAATAGGTGTAAAATGTTATTTGATTGTATAAAAGCCATAAGATGACCATACACATTCTTGGAAATACAGGTCAGAGACTTACGGGTCGATAACTGCATGTCTGGTCAGGTGTTCCTGTCTTCAATAATGGCATAACCTTTGTCTGTTTCTGAGGTGTGGGGAATAGTCTGCTCTGAATAGACAAATTGATCAAGTGTGTCAGCGGCTTTACAAAAGTGTTTTTATTTAATAAAAAAGACTGAATTTATGTGAAAAAAATCTTTACTATAACTGTTGTTAACTGAATGTATAGCTTCAAGCACGTTTGCTTCATTGGTCTGCTGAAGTGATAATGGAGAATATTGGATTATTGATTGATGTTTACTGAAGTTTAGTTGCTGTTCTGCATTAACTTGTTGCTCCAGTTCTTCTACAAAAAACCTATTAAATTGCATTGCTATTTGTTTACTGTCTCTAATCTTTCTAATCTTCATGGATGATCTTTGACTTGCCAGACGGTTTCACAACACCATTTATTTGCTTCCACATTATAAGTTGGCTTCCATTGACTTCTGTTATTGTTGTAATTTAGGACTCATGGAGTGAGCTATATGAATGCTTAATTACAGGTGAAAACCTCCTACAATGGAGACCAGCAAGATCCTCTCGTCTGATAAAGCTACAGTGGTCATCCAGGTGAATCCACAGGTGACTCAGCATATTGTGAGTGGAGACGATGGACAGGAGAGCCGAGGAGCACACCGCAGTACGGCTCTGACTGGGTTCTCCAAAGCACAACCGAAGGCACTGGGGGTAACGCATTAATGAAGAATTATAATTACGGATATTTTTAGTGTCTAATTTACTTCTGTGTAAAACATTAACAGAAAATAAAAAGCTGTTATCATATGACCTCAAGTTCATGTGTGTGTGTGTGTGTCCCATTATGAAGAACAGTACTTGACTCATATCTGCCCTGTCTAGACTGTCCAGATAATGATTGGAGTGGTGGTTTTTTCATTGGGTATCATACAAACCATTATCTACAATTACCCAAGTATGTCTGTCGTCAGTGGCATCACCTACTGGGGATCCCTTATTGTAAGTGTCATTTAATGGTTTTCCTTTAAAGCCTCTCTTCTTCATTACCAGAATGAACCGTGAAATGTCCTGTTTCTCTCAGTTCATCAGTGCTGGATCTCTGTCTGTTGCTGCACAGAATAAACTTCATCTGTGTGTGGTATGTACATAATGTGCTGAAATCTTTTCTTATTGTTTCTAATGTATATTCATACACTATTATTATTAAATCAAACACAGCATCAGTCCAGATATCATCATCTGTTATTAGCAGCAAAGCATTAACCCGTATGTGCTGTCGGGGAAACTCCAAACTCTATAGAAGACTTTTCTGACACTACATCTACAGAAAAATACTGAAGTGGTGTCGGACTGGATGTTAGTGGGACACAAAGAAAGTGACACTCAGGATGTTTGGGGCTCTGTAGACACCACATAAGTGAATATTGTGTGTGTGTGTTGAATGAAAGTGAGAAATGTAGATCTGATGATGTAGATTTTTCATCAAAATTAGCTATTCTGTATGAATAATTATAATTACAAATTGAGGCAAATAAGTTTTAAAAATGCCATAAATCCCCCAAAAAACTCTCCTTTACCACAGTAGTTAGAAGCTTGAACATTAATCTCAGCTTTCTTATAGAACAATGACACAGTTTTACTATTGAAGGAATGTGGACTAAAAGGAGATCTGACTCAATATCAATTTACATATTTAAAACCTGCAGTTCAGGACATTTTTTAAGTGTACACCTTTACTATTACCTTTACTATTACGATCACCCTTCACATGTCAGTTTTGTCTCCTGCAGGTAAAAGCCTCTCTTATAATGAATGTGATCAGTGCCATAACTGCAGCGACCACCATTGCTCTGATGTCCATAGAGATGGCAATTAAGATTTCCGATCTAAGGCGGAGCTATGACGATGATTATTATTACTATAATTTGAAGGTACTAAATGTACGCCTACAATACTATATTTATGTGATCGGTTTATTTTTTTTTCTTTAAAGCCACAATATGTATTTTTTCTGCATTAAAAATAGCAAAAATAACTGTATCTATGTTATATATTTCTGTTAGATATGTACTTACATTGTCCCGACAGTTTCCACCAAATTTCAAATACGGAGAAATTTATAGTTTAATTCGAAGACACGGGACGTTTCTTTATTTCCGTTTCGTCGCCCGTCTGTGGCGTCATATAACCTTTGACTCCTCTATTGTCTCTAACTTCCTTGCGGAACCCGGCGAAACCGCCAAACACAAAGGGGAACACTGGACTACCGCCAATAAAGCAAAGAACATGACGAAGAAAAAAAAGTTGTACGTATTTTTATGTGTGTAAATCACGTGCCCGCTCACGAGCGCTCACTCTTAACAGACACACTGTCCCCGGTGCTGCTCGCGCATAAAGCGCTCCCCGTTCACAGTAACCGGGTCGTCTCATTCAAAACAGCCAACTGTTGCTGTTAGCGAGCCGCGCACATTGAATACTCATATGAGTCAGGCTGCGAATGTACGTGCCCGCTTCAGCTCTCTCATGCTTACTAAATAAACGCCTCACCTCCGGCGCCGCGCACTCACTACATTCCCTTTAGCCTTTAGCACATAGTGGATGAATAACGCAAACCCAGTCAAACGTTTGACTGCAGTATCTTATGTGCTTTATAATCCGGTGCGCTCTATATATGAAAAATGTTCTAAAATAGGTCATTCATTGAAGTAGTAATATTCGTCTGTATTATAGTTATGGACCACGATTACGCTTTGCCTGCACGTTCTGCTGCTACAGCCAGCTCATTAGCTAAAGCTCAAACGTACCTGAAAAATATGACCCGAGAAGGGTTTGGGACAGGAGAAGCATGACACAGGTAAACATTGGGGTTGGATTTAAAGCTTCTTGACAAGCTAAATCTACAGAGAGATGCCGTATATCCGTATATTTTGTGAAACGATGATGTCATGAGCTGAGCTGGTTGTCATTGACAGCGACAACAACTCCCGTGAGCCCACGCTCTTTCCCGACGTCATCAAAGTACGTCTTTTGTTATTATTTTAAACGAGTGACCCCTGGTGGCCAAAAATCGCATACTGTACGTTTAATTGCTGTTCACCCAAAAATGACAACTGAGTCATCATCTACAAATTGAGACCAGTTTTTACTAATAAAGATTGTCTTTTCCATAGAGTTATAATGACTAACAACTCCTTATTGTGTTTTAAATTACACAAAAGGCATCAAAGATGTATCATAAAAATTACAAAGTAATCCATGTGACTTGTGCACTCAACCTCACTCAATATAATCGACTGGATATTATTTGTAATCTACTTTTATCTGATCTTGTTGAATATATTTTAGGAATATGATCTGGGGATCGTTGGACTAATGCTGGTGTTATCCATTACTCAGTTCATCATCTCCATCTGTGTCTCAGCATTCGCCTGCAAAGCCTCCTATAACTCAGACTCTACAGTGATCAATGTGGCACTAAACCAGGTACACGATTAGTGGAAATTATGTCATTTTCTAACTATATGTCATGATTCTGCCTTCTTGTCTTTGATTTTCTCTAGTCGTGAGGCAGGATCATGACAGAATCATGTTTTGTGGAAAGCGCATGGCCAGTTTGGGCCATGTGCTTGTGTCGTCTCGTTACGTTACCCCGCCCCCTTGTTATCCCTGTCTTGTCATTATTGTCTTGTCAGTTTCACCTGTCCTCGTCATGACCTACCCCTGACCCCGCCCCTAAACATAACCGTCACGTGGGTTTAGTGAGGTCGTATGAATTAGTACGAATTAGCCACTTTTGAATCATTCGTACGAATTGGTCGTGAGATAGGGTAGGTTTGCTGTCCTGTGCCGGTTCATTGTGGTCCTTGTGAGTATTTGTCAATAGTAATGTCCAGAGAGAAGTTCTGATTCTGCGTTTGCTGTTTTGTTTACTGTCTAGTTAATTGTCAGTCATAGACTAGTTTAGTCACTCGTTGTCCTGTTCATGTTTTGCCCCCTCGTGGGTATTTGTTTTCCCTGTTTACTGTTCTTAAATAAATCGTGTGTCTAGCAATCTGTCTGTGCTTGGGTTCATCCTCCCACATCATAACACTACAACCAGGGTGACAGTCAGTTTGATCCCAACAACAAGTCTTTTATTTTTAAATTTAGGTTAAAAAAGCCACAACCAACCACTATATATATTTATATATATATAAATGATGTGTAGTTCTTTTATTTTATTTATACAATTAAACATATATGGACCTAACGGCACTACCGTTTGTCCGTGTCATCACAGTTAGCTCACCTGTTCTGTTCTGGTTTGACCTCATCTGGCGTTTCCACTGGCCGTCGATGCTGCTTAAATCTTCCTGTACAATGTGGGTCAGCAGAACATCCATCTTGTTTGTCTGGGTCTGTTTACTGCCTGTTCACCTGCTAGTGACGGGTTTGCTTCAGTATTTGGTCACTGACCTGCTCGGGGTGCGCTGTCAGCTGCCTGGACCTGCGCCTTATCCATCGCCTTCCAGCCTCATCAGAGATGCATCCACCGAGGGTCCCGCCGAAATATCCACCACAACAGCTCAACAGTAATAAAGTCCATCTGGTCCAGCTCTCGTCGCCCTCCACGCTACACCAACCGGGCTGTTGACCTCAGTGTGTTAGCTCGATCGGCTAGCACCACCACCAGCTGTGACAGCACTGCACTCCACTGCACTCTGCTCAACATCCGCTCACTGACAGACATCTCATCCAGGACCTCATCTCCGACCGTAAGCTAGAGTTTCTCTGTTTAACCGAGACATGGCAACCGCCCAACAACTTCTCCCAGCTGAATGAATCCACTCCTAGTGGGTTTGTTTACATCTGTTATCACTGTGGCTCCGGTCGGGAAGGAGGTCTTATATTTTATCGCAGGAAGTGGAAAGTCTTGCCGATATCTGTGCCGGTCTCCAGCTCGTTTGAATCTGCTGTCTGCAAGTTGTCTGGTTCCACCCCAACCATCATTGATACTGTATACATCCCCCCAAAACTGAATAGTGTTTTTTTTTTAAATGATTTTGTTGCTTTTCTCACTCACTTATCCTAAGATAATACTGCTGGGGGATTTTAATATCCACATGGACAATATCAATCTGCCTCTTAAAGACTTCTCCTCCTGCCTAGAGAGTTTTGGATGCCAGCAATATATCACTTTTCCCACACACTCCGAAGGACATACTCTGGACGTAATCTGCTGTTCTGGTGTCACCGCTGCTGAACTCCCCATAACTGACCATTTACTGTGAAACTCACTCTCTCCATTTATAAAATACCACGCCTTATTTAATTTAGAAATATAAAGAATATCAATCCTGCCACTCTCACTTCAAGTGTCCAGTTCCGTATCCAATTCAAAGTCCTTCTGTGAAGATTCGAGGCCGTCCACAAACTCGTCCCCCATATCTGTCTGATCTCCTCCCAACTTCCACCCGCTCCCTTACATCCTCTTCCTCCATTCACCTGTCACCCGTTTATTTATTTCTGGTGATTTAAATGTCTTATCCCTGTACGGTGTCTTTGAGAAAGGCGCCTTAAAATAAAATATGTTATTATTAGTATAAACAAAAAATACAGTTAATTATTGTACATAACCTTCTGAAACCTCCCAGATACAACATACATGCAAACATGTCTTTAATTATTCTGTCAACCAAAGAAGTCAACATTTATGAGATTTAAATGCCAGCATTACCACAGGAACACAACCAACGTGCCAAGCGAGCACCGAGTGCGCCACTAATGAGTGTCCCACCAGAAACAAACCCTACATACTGTAGTTCCAGGACGAAAAGTAGCTATAACTAACATAGGCCTAAATAAGCTATACAAATCAGAAAAGTGTTTAGATCAAATAAAATGTATTAGTGTTAGTTATTGGTCTATTTTACACGTTTGATTAGATTGATCTGTGTAATTAATGACTAAATAAATAATGTGCCATTCAAATTATTTGTCACAAAGCTGCAGATAGCAGATTATGATATTACAGTTTAAATTATGGCAGTATTAAATTATATGTTTAATTCAAATTTAGATTGCTTCTTTATTCTTACAGAGACTGATTGATTTACCCCTAAACATTAATTAATGCATTAACCCAAACATGTACTAAGATGTTTAAGGATGTAATCAGTGTGACTCCTGTTGTAGTTAAGGATTGCTCTTCATTGGTTCATGATTAGTTCATATATTCACTGATCATGAGTTAATGTTGAAGTAACTATAAATTCAGTTATTAGTACATGATTATCCATGGCCTGTTATTGTAAAGTGTTACCGGTGTCAGTGCTGTTTAAAAGCTCACAGGACATTGTCACTCATCACAGTACCGCTGTAAACATATGTATGGTGTGTGTGGACATTGTTAGTAAAGTTAAACCGGATAATGAGTCTGAGTGTCTTGTGTGTTAACATTTCTTATCTGTTTCTTCCCAGGGATACTAAATCACAGAGAGGAGATCCTGCCAGACAAAGTTTGAGAGGAATTAATATCTCATATTGTTGCATCTGATGAATATTATTAGAAAATGTTGAATAAAAAAATTAAAGTACTCCAAATGAATTGTTTGTTGGTGCAAACCCCCTTTGTGTCTCTTTTGTTTTAACCTAAAAGAAAATGAATAATTAAACACTACAAAAAAGACATACAAATTAGCTTTTATACCTGATTTTGAAGTACATTTTTATCATTCAGTCGGGGATCTGTCAGGCAACAGAAGTGAATCAATCAAACTAACTTTAATTGGACAATATCTTTATTCTAGATCTGCCATAAAGCCAAAACACTCTCTGTTACTGTAATCTACTTATCTCTGTAAAGCCGCTTTGAAGCATCTACATTGTTAAAAGTGCTATATAAATGAAGATGACCTGACTATCAAAGTAATTATCATCTTAATTCTATCAATTCTGTTGTCAAGTAGATTTACAATTAGCATACAGGTTGGATTTGCTGTAGGGCTCTGCTCCGGGTAAGAACTCATCAGCCCTGCATGGATAAGAGTATTATCCCCCAAACAAAACCACAAGCTAATATCCCCCAAACACAAAATCTGAATCCCTTAAAAAAACCAACTCTGATACTGGAAAAGACAGACAAGACAAGGACATTTGTAAAGAAACAGCATGTCCGTCTGAAACAGAGACTGAGAGACAGTGGAGAGTAGCGAAGGAGTGATCTTCTGTTACAAGCCGCCGCTGTAAACACAGTGACCCAAACGAGCTTCAGCAACAAGCATGTGACCCTTACCCAGAGTTCAGCTGATCAGACCAGAGCACGAGGAGAAAGAGTGATTAACCTTTAAGTGTCGGGTCCCCTTTATTGAATAAACATCAAAATGCACAATCTGAACTTAAATGGTTGTAATTCAAGAATGCTTCTGAATATAGATGTCCTCTTCCTCTTCATCCTCTACCTCACCCCTCATCAGCCGTCACAAAGTTTCATTCCACTGCTCTGCTGATGACAAACAGCTCTATGTAAATGCCCCAGAGCAACCCCACCCTCACAGTCATCTTCATCATAACGCTCCGCCTGTCTGGAGGAGATTAAGGAATGGATGGAGCACAATTTGCTTCAACTAAATCGCTCCAGAACCGAAGCCATATGGGCTGGCACTCTTCACCCGACCAAATAATCATCCATAACCAGCATCAGCTTTTCTGGCACCAACATCCCCCTCTCATCAATAGTCACAAATCTTGGTGTAAAAATGACTCCCAACTCACTTTTGAAGCCCAAATTAATCACCTATGCAAGACATCTTTCTACATCTCCAATGGTATAACATCTCCAATCTCCGCCCCATTCTCTCTTTCTCAGATGCTGAAAAGCTGGTTCATGCCTTTATCTTAGGGGTCGGCAACAGGCGGCCCTCGGGCCAAAACTGACCCCTGTCAGCAATAATATTGAACCCGCGCCGCAGCCTGAAAAGTTTTCTTTGCCATTGGCTCATTTTGTAAGAGGCAAATCTGATTGGCTTTCTAAGCGAAACCCCATTCATCATCATCTGATGGAACTGGATCTGGGAGTTACAACGAAAGTTATACTTTACACACTATACTATACTTTATTTGGTGACATATAAAAAGGGCAAAATAAAGAAATTGAAAGTTTAATATTTTGTTTTTCCGCTCTTGATCTGTAACCTTCACTTGAAGACCACATGTTTGAGCTGTCTGGATGATTAGAGAAGAGAAGCTGTCCCTGTGCACGACGGCTGTGGTTTGTGGTGAGTTTATCATCTACATCCGTTCACAATCATCCTGACCAATGTTTCAGTAAACAGAGTAATGGTTTTAAAGCCTCAACTCACATTACTCAAAACAGCAAAGGCACAGCGAGCCGACTGAAGAGGAAATATGAGTCCACCACAGATCTGCCTGATAATCTGCCTTTAACACGACTGCTGTGAAACTGGTCTTCTGTCGTCTGCTGAAAGAGATTATGCCGACACACGTGATCAGCTCCACTTTCCCAGGGCATGAAACCCACAACCTTAATATGAGGACGGCATTCTCCACGGCTTTCTTCCTTTCTGTTTATTGTAATAAAGTGTATTAAATAGTTTATAGTTTATATGGCATTTGGCTGTTATTGATCAGATTATCCCACACTGGTCCCAGTATGAAGAACACACCTGATGCTGGTGATCCTTCAGTCACTGGAGAACCAGAAACACTTCACGGAAACAGAGAAAACGGTAACGAATCTGACTGGGGAAACACTTATTTTGATTGGATTTCATTAATAAAGTTTTTCCTTCATTTTTACTAGTTTTAGAAAACACACCAGAATGACATTTATAATGTTTAATTAGATTAACTAACTTCCCTTTCCTGAAAACAGAATCTGTGTTAGACACACTGTCACTGATTACATAGTGTATATTTTACAATTTAAAATAGTATGATTTCATTCCTTTATAAATCATATTCAATATTATATACAGTAGTTTAATACTATAACTTCAATTTCATCTCATGCACGAAATTGGTTGAATTTGTATTAGTTCTTGTAATTCTTGTTAATAATGTATTCTCTACTATAAATGCAGATATTTTCGTCCTTCATCATTGGCCAGAAGTTATTATAGTTTATTTTCCACTCTTATGTAAAGCACTGTGTATTTTAAGAGGAAAGCAGACGTTCTGTACGTAAAGCAAGTCCCTCCTTCTCTGTTCACACACACACACACACACACACACACACACACACACACACACACACACACACACACACACACACACACACACACACACACACACACACACACACACACACACACAGATTCATCAAACGAGCTTCTAGACATCAGCAAATCTCATTTCAGGTGAAATCATTTATCAGTTAACAATTTTTTTCTCTAGATTTTTAGACAGTTTACTATTTGTGAAACAACATTGAAAAAATCTTCCAGTGGTTGTTTTTTTTTTGTTAAAACTTAAACTCAACTAAAACTTTAAATGTTTTGTGAATTGTTTGGATGAAGGCATCCTTGTCAAACAGGTATTTCGCTATGAGAAGTACAGATATTTTTGTTATCTTTAAATAGTCAAAGTACGTGGCTCACATTTCTTCTTGAACTTGAACAGGAGTGATATGAGCATGATATGAGCATGATATGAGCATGATATGAGCATGATATGAGCATGATATGAATATGATATGAGCATGATCTGAATATGATATGAGCATGATATGAGCATGATATGAGCATGATATGAACATGATATGAGCATGATATGAACATGATATGAACATGATATGAACACGATTACAGGTGACACCCAGAGCTGTTCCTGAGATGGACACCGGCGAGGTCAAAGATACGGTCATCAGATTAAAGGTGACACAAGGAAACATTATTTCTGTTGATGGACAGGAGACCGAAGGACAATATCTAAATGCAGTTCTTCTTAAAGGATTTTTGAAATTGCAACCAAAGGCGTTGGGGGTAACGCATTTACTTAATACCACATCAATAATAATAATACATCGTTTTAGGAATTTTCTGAGTATTTCTTCTAGATTGCTGTCTCCATTCACACATGTATGTTATGCCATAATGAATGAAACGCCTGACCTATCTCTGCCCGTAGACTGTGCAGGTGATGATCGGAGTGGTGGTCTTCTTTCTCGGTGTTCTGCTCACCCTCAACGACTACAATTATCCTGCTATTCTGGTCTATAGTGGCATCACCTACTGGGGCTCTTGCATTGTGAGTTTCACTCCATGTTTTTCCTATTTGCCACTCTTTTAATTTCCAGAATGACCTGAAATGCCGTTTCTTTCTCAGTTCATCATTGCTGGATCTCTGTCTGTTGCTGCGCAGGATAAACGTCATCCTTCTGTGGTGTGAACATGTCCCTTAATAACTGATATATAACTGAGAGAAAGCCCAACACGGGGAACACAAGCCGTCTCTCACAAACACATTACACTTGAACACCCTGGGACGCAACACCCGACTTAAAAACAATTATGAGTTTCTGCAAGCCTTTTTAATGATCTGTTGTTTGAGTAAAATTGTGAGAGTTCATGCTGTGTTTGTACAGGTCAAAGCCTCTCTTGGAATGAATGTGTTCAGTGCCGTAACTGCAGGACTCGCCATTCCTCTGATGTCCGTACAGTTAGCAGTCATATCAATGATGGATCCAAGTTTATATGCTGAGGTATTACAGGACATATTTTGTATTCATGTGTGATGTGTTTTTATCTTTTATTAATTACTTTTTTGTTTAAAATTCTGTCATATGACTAGTATGACTTTTTTCTTCCTTGGCCCGATCAGACAGAGCGCCTTTAATTTGTTTTCTATCTGCAGGGAGAGTTTTCTCGTGTTTCAGTCGGCTTCTGCGCCTCGTGCTTTTGCAGGAAGTAAAAAAAAAAAATCAACTTGATGTCATTACGTTTTTTTCCCACTGTCCAATCGAATGACTGGAGAGGCGGGCCTTCCTGTTTATATTTGCTTGGAACGTTTATTCTGAAATGAAGGATGAGAAATTTAGCCTAACCCTAACCGCTTCAGTCGGTCACGTTTGACTTATTGCTGTCACTTCCAGCGCAGCGTGAGCTCCGGATCCTTTGGGCACCTTGGGGCGTGAGATGGGAAAGAGGTTAGGCCAAGGAAGTCTGAACTGCTGTTCCACATTACACATTCAGACAGAATCGGATAACACTGGGAAAGCGTGTCGTTTCAGTGGACAGGGAGCGCTGCAGAAGCCCCATCCGCACCCACAGGTATCAGGGCGGTATCATGTGGGAGTTACACATATGGACTGGGCGTGAGGGCAGTCCAGCACATGTCACTGAGATGACTCCAGCCTGTAGGGGGAGGCAACACCGGTCAGAGACAGCAGAGCGAGACAAAGACACGGGCTCACCTCAGGGGGCAGTACCGTGGAAGAATACACATATGGGATCCACCAATGCACACGAGTGTTAGGCCTGGGCTGTGTGAGGAACTGGCTGATGGGAATCTCACCAGGAGCAGAAATGGCACACGTATCCGGTCCATGAGAGGGGAATGGCACAGCAATGGGGGGTCTATGGTTTTGAC